TCCCTTCATCATTTCTGGATGAAATCCGACACAAAACGGCGAGCGTCTGTTCTCAGGTCCGGTCGCCGCCTCATTTCGGTACAATTTTCTTTTCGTGGTTGAGCCGAGAGAAAGTAGAATGGCGGCCCGAGCACCGGATTCATCTTCCTCAGGACAGGATCCAGTGGCTGGCCGATGTGACCTTCGGGCCCCATAACAGGTGGCGCATTTCTTGACTAGCTACGCGCCAATCAGCTTCTGGTCCGTGGAGTTAGCAGCCAGCCTCTTGCCGCAGAGGCCTGGTTTGAGTCCCATACCGAACGGTACCTCCTGGCACCCAAATCTTCCCAGCTCGTGTATCATCACGACCCATCCATCAGTCGCGGTACCAAAGACTGGATCGACTCAGGATCGTGTCCATCGGCTTTCTGCTACCTACAGGAACATGAACAAGGCGCGTCTCCCGACTGTGGAGAGTCACACAGGCACACGTGGTACCGAAGTGTTCGGATTCCTGTGTCTGCGTTCGCTGCAAAGACTCCGTTACGTAATGGCTGGTATTGAGCACTGACAAGTCGAATAATCGGGAAGTCACGAGACACACGACTCTTTTAGTTATCAGGCAGATGTGTCGACTGGATTGAACTGGCTCACGATTGGATTCGATGCACAGAGGGCACGACGGAATTTCGACTAATTTTCCTACGTCTGGCAAACCAGGTAGGCGTTGTGAGGGTCCGTCACGCGCAAAGCCGCAGTACCAGCAGATCCCGCCGAAACAGGAACCTCCCCTCAGTGACCCCGACCTCCCAGCAGGCCTGCGGTGGGCTATGGGGTTCTATTCAGCTCGCAAAAGTGCGTATCAAACCGGTTGCACGCATTGTGAATTCGCGGAGAGAAGGGGCGAAAGTGATATTTCCTGCCTGAGAAACACTTTGATCTGGATGGTCCGTGGCAACGGCAAATCCAAAAATGAAGTCTGTGTCTGGACGCGTTCAACAGATAGCTCACAGTCACAACTCCGCTAGCAGCCGGTACCTACAAATATGTTGCATGTCGAGTCTCAGACAGACGAAAAGAGGATAAGCCCCTGACAGTAAAGTAAAACCTAGCACGTCGACACACGCCACACGAACTAATGACGCGAGACAGGAGCTTGAAGAGGTAATGTAGGGCACATTTATCGATACTAAAAGCAAGAGATTTGTTATTCCACCCTGAATGGACGAGACCTCTTGAGACTGAGCTTAAAAGGATTAAGGGTGTGAGTGAAGTCGTGGAAATGACTCAACTGGCTCACGACAGGGTCTAGTAGCGGGGTATTGTGAAGACGGGTGGCTTCTTTACCAGATGAACGACTATAAGCTTCTCAAGAACTCTACTGCACGGAGTCGTGACACATCGGCCGCGCGCGGTCTCAAACCGAAGACAAACTCCCATTCGATGTGCCGCCCTGTGCAGGTAGACGGGCGATCCCCGGCAAAGACGGAGCAGCCGAGGCACGGACACTGACTGTATCCGAGAACCCTCCAGTCCGCCTCTTTATTCAACGACTGCTCCTTGAAGTTTGCATGAACGTCATTTCCAACAAGTCCGAAGTCCGTATCATACATATTCAGCACACAGCTGCTCTATGTACCCACCACATTAAAATCTCGAGTCGCCGTCTGTGTTGACAAAGTGTATTTCCTCCTTACGACACGGAGTCTGGCAAGAAACGAGCTGCCCCTGTATACATGTCGAGTGCAGAGTCCTTATTTTAGTAAAACGTTCAAGCCGCTCCAAGTTCTTTGCATTCCGCTGATAAAAGGTAAGAAGTATCATCAACAGCCACTCCGACGGCAGATAAAGGCACTTGTACGGGTCTAATACGCACACGGGAATAGAGCGGTATTGTTTTGCAACAACACAGATGTTTTTTTAAAAAAACGTAAAAGTATATTTACACGCCTTGCTTTGAAATGCATGGCCCTCGCTGACCGTGGTCGAAAGCCGTTTCAATAAAAAACTGAAATTTAAATAATTAATCTGCAGTGTAATACAACGACCTTGTACTTAAGATCGACTGTTACTTTACAGAAGGAGAAAAATTTCAATTACTGTCGTCAGAAGCCCCAACTCATAGACGTTATTTATTTATTTATTTTACGAAGCTGTATCTAAGCGTATATACCGTCTAGTTACGGGTTGATTAGTGAATAATGAATTCTAGAGGACGTTAAAGAAATCGGCCGTGGCCTACTTAAGAGTTAATATCCCGGCGTATGCCTATAAGGGCTGAGGAAAACCACAAAAACATCGGTAGGACACCCCAAACGTTTTCCTGTGTTTATCGGAAAATTTTGCATAATTACAGGCTTCAATTCCCTCTTTTCATGTCTGTCTGTCTGTCTGTCTGTACTTCTGCTGGAGCGATAAAATATCACCGTGGTCGCACTTGCGATCCAGTGGTTCCTACACATACCAGTCTGATCGCAGAGCGCCTTTACGAGTTTCTACGGTTCTCAGAATAAACCGATTATAACAAATGATCTTTATATCAGGGGCGCGTTGTATTTTCTTTGAGGCAGGGAGTGCGCTTTTAAATATTACGTAAATGGGCCTCGGGCCTCAACGGACTGCGCGTTCATTACACACGTTTCACTGTAGAAAAAAACAGTACAGAATCCTTTGGTACTAATCAGCCACAAACTTTCACTGCTCTTTGTGGATGTGGCGACGAACTTGGCAGAATTCGGTGATCGATATTAAACTGAAGAAGATTGTTAACGACTGTTGACTGAAACAGTTTCTGATTAGAAGTGAACTGAGTGTAAACAATGCTGTTATCGAAAATTTGTTCTTTGAACTACTCACAAAAATGCCCGTGCAAATTCTTGTTTACCGGACGAAATACAAGTTGGGGCTGAAAGAGACGAAGATGCCTTGATGACCTACGAGGAACACATGCGAAATTTTTCATTTTCCGCTGCTCTCACCCCAAAAAACAAACGAAAAAACAGGGCGAATGATAATTATATCAGAAGAGACAAAGTGTTCAGAAATTCTTCTGCACAGAACAACAAACAAAGACGAAGTACACGTGCGAGAACCACCAGACAATTTCTTACGTGGCGACGAAAATTTAAAAATAAACAAACACTAGCTTCAAAGTGACGATAACGGCGTTACTCACGTGTACACAGTGAGGAGCATCCAACACGTCAAACGCGCGTGGTGCTACGGCGGGCAGCAACCACTACAACCAACACCATGATCCTCCGGACCGCTGCCACGACCCCCAGCACGACAACGTCAAGCCACTACCACAAACACCTGAGTCGTCAGCATCACAACAAACTCGTATCTCGATAAACACGTCCTCTGTGACGAGTACCACACTGTCCTCTGCACACGTGGACACAATATATTAGCGTCGTAATAAAGGTACGTCAGTAAAAGCAAACAGAAACAAGAAACTTGTGCTCCGGTCACCAAAATACGGAGGGACGGTCGAATCCAGCGCGATCATGAACGACAATACACCCTGCGAACACATCCAACTCTTCCCTGCAAGGAAAAAGCCGACCGAGTAACCGCGGCTTTTATGTCACAACGACGTTATCGGGCACGCAAAGCGACCGCGCTGCAGAGCTGGCTACAAGCAACTGGCGCACACCTTCGCTCGTCGGCCCCTGATAATGCACTGTGTGTGGCTCAGCAGCCAGCAGCCACCCGCCCTCCGCAAGCCGCCGACACGGGCGACCCAGAGGTGAGAAGAAAATACTTCTTTCCCGCCAAAACGCGAGCTCGTTCCAGCATTTCTACCGAGGCGTTGTGCTGCCCCGGCATCTTGCAAGCAGGCCCCATGCAGGCGTCAGTTTAACGACGCTGTTTCAACTGCACTCACGTTCGCATGAGAAATGAAACGGTTGTTATGAAAAGGGAACAAGGCCTGGTTTAAAGAACTGTTACAGCATTTGCTTAGAACATTCAGCACAACCGAAGCCGGTCTCTGGACACACTCGAACCCAGGGCCCCTCAAGTGTGAAGCACAAATGTATATCCGATTCGCCACCCGCGGAAAAAAAACAAAAACAAATGTGAAACGGATGAAAGCGCCTTTACCAGCAGTGACGAACCTCCAGGGTTGTCTTGTCATTTACTGAACTTCCGTCTAATGTTAAACTAAAGAATAATATTAAAACGGACATTTCAGACATGTGTGTGAGAATGTGGATCGGATTCGTCCGGCACCGAATACTGACGAGTAACGAGCACTTATGAACCTTCTGTTTTTATCTTCTGACCGAGTGTTGACGTCTCAAGGGTGACTCTGCTACAAGCTATTCGTGGCACTCTGTTAGACTCGACAGGGTTCCCTGTATGGGGATCGGTCCATCGGAAAGGATGAATACAGACAAATTTATGTACGTCCCTGTTGCCAGTGGGACTGTTTATATCCCGCGATCCCAGAGCTGGAGTGAACCAGGATCGTGTGTGGAGGCCTCTGAGGCCAGCACCAAAAATAATTCGCAGGTGCGTCCTTGTCGTCTGTGTCGGCTTTGCTGTACTCCTCGCGTAATCAACTGGACATGCCCCATGAGCACAACTTATTAATGCAGTTCACCCGCGCCGAACCTGAATACGCGAACGCCGATCGATTTTGTTCTGGAACGCAGGAATTTTCCACTGAACTTCGACGGCTCACACTCGTGTGAACAGACCTCTCTTACTGAAATGGGGCTTCCCTGACGCGTTCCTCATGCAACTTCGCATTTCTCGTTGTTCCTACCGACACGAACCGGCCACTAGGAAATCCAAAACACGTTCCTAATCAGTGGGCAGCAGGGGCTAATGCGGTTGAAGCGTGAAGCTGACCACTCACTGTGCTGCCGAGTGGAGCCTCTGTTTGACTCCTGCTCGGGTCTCGTTCTTAACACCAAATCAACGATTTTTCGACCTGGGCAGACTCTCCACTCTTTCTGGTACAACGAACTACACACCACCACATAAACACAGCTCACATGTTAAGAACTTGCTGCTGTATGATTCAATTTAATATTATCCTACAGATTACACGTCAAGACACCTTCAATCTCGGTGCCATTTTGAAAGGGAGACCCACAAATAACAATACGACGGTACAACACTGTCAAACGAACGATGAGTTACGTATTGTACACGCCACCAAACAATTACGCACTTCTTCATTCCGGCCAGTCTCGAAACACTGGCATTCCTTGCAGTGTACAGGTGTGTGATGTGTTGCCTGCACAACAGGGGATGCCTGTTTTTCAACCGGCCCTGCGTGGCTGACAGAAGGTCGCTTCTTGGGGATGGGTGTGAAACTTGGTCTCTCACTCTGAGACTAACGGGTGTCAGAGACCGAAATGTGAGGGCAAAATCTGGGGCATGAAAATACTGTCTTCCGGAAAGCTGAGCCGTGCAGTCTGGCAGACGTTTGCAGAGGTGCGTACTGCCTCCATTATCTGGTCCTCATAAAGTGTGCAAGCACTCTGAAACATCCCATCAGAAGACAATCATTTTCAGTTTCTTGGCTATGTGAAGGGAATTCTGCAAGCTGCCTCCGCCCCCCCCCCCCCCC